GATGATGGTGAGCCTCGATCATATACATGTATTTATAATGACGAAGAATGGGAAAAAAACATAGCTATACTCCAAGACACGTAAAATATATGGAATTTATTCCATATTCTAGTTTCAAGAATATTAAGTATTTGGCGAAAGGTGGATTTGGTACGATACATTCGGCGACGTGGATTCAAGGACCGCGTTGGAAAGAAGCACCTGTTTGGAAGAGAGTTGCTGGTCACTATTATGGACGATGTGGGCCAACGCAGGTTGCGTTGAAAACTCTTGATCATTCGGCGAAGATGACCTCGGATTTCTTACAAGAGGTTCGTTTATTTAATGCTTGTTTCGTTAATCAGTAATTGGGAACTTATATAATATATCTAACTAAATATTTCTTTAAACTAAAAAAAAAGTTATTACGCCATCAAGAAATGTTGTTTCCACATTGGATATCGAAAATAATTTATTGCTTTGGAATAACACAAGACCCGAAAACACAAAATTATGTGCTAGTAGTTGATTACGCATCAGAAGGGGATCTACATAGCTACTTAGAGAAAAATTCAGCTAAAATTACGTGGGCACAAAAATTAGAAATATTAGGAGAAGTAGCATCAGCATTAGTGGACATTCATCGAAAAGATTTAGTACATGGAGATTTACACACTGGCAATATACTAGTGGGAATGGCATTATCCCGTGCTTCTGTATCAATAGGCGATCTCGGTTCATGTCGTCCAGTTAACGCCTCGACAAATCCAGAAGACATATACGGAGTGCTACCATACGTCGCTCCAGAAGTACTAAATGGGGAAAAATACACATCAGCTTCAGACGTGTACAGTTTCGGGATGATACTTTGGGAAGTTTCCGCCGGCCGAAAACCTTTTGACGACCGTCCCCATGATTATAATCTAGCTCTGGAGATTTGTAATGGACTTCGTCCAGAAATGATAGAAGGTACACCATGGAGATACGCACAACTGATGCGACGATGTTGGGATCGAGAACCTGCCAATCGTCCAAGTGCTGCAGAATTAGCGTCGAACCTGTTGGGATCAAAAGATGCTAGTGGATTCGGCAATTCGCCGACGGACATTAATGATAAAAAATGGAGAGAGTATTTACAGCGAATCACCGAAAGCTCTAAACAACAAAAATTTAGTGTGCATCCGGATGCCGTGTATTCGAGTCGATTACTTGATTGTCCAGTTCGTCGAAAAGTCAAACGGTTAATGACAAAAAGTGTTGGAAATGAGTCCTAAATTATTTTTCTTTGCTCGAGTATTATGGATATTTAGAAACTATGCTCTCTTTAGGCATGGATGTGCAATCAACAATTCAATGAACCAAACCGTTTTTCTTGAATAAAATTTTCTGAGCGTCAAATATTGTATCCATTATCCCATCCCAATCCCAATATTCCATATCCCACAATATAAGTGCATACTTTTTATTACACATTTTAATTTGGGAAGCAAAATAAAATAGCTTTATTAAACAAACAACTATTTCAAATATGACACTATAAAATGATTTGATTATTGCTTACTATGAATGAAAAAAATCGTTAATTTATAAATTAACAAAATTTTACAACAATATATAAGTAGCTTCTAATTTTCTTGCGTATTTAATCAAGAGGATTTGTAAAATACCAAACATAGAGATACCTTAAGCACAATAAATATGCAACTACAATTGAAACTATTATTAATATCGTATCATTAGAATTTTCAAGACGCCTCTTTGCTAAAAGTGCTAAAAATCAAGGACAAAAGAAGTAATTAATACCACCGACACAACCAGTGACTGACCCATTCTATATACAAGAGTCTCTTTTTTCTCTGTTTTTGTTCCCTTTCTCCCAGTACAAAATATCTTCTCCGACAATATTTAAATTCCATCTTAACAATATATCGTATGGTAATTCTGACAATGTAAATAGTTAATTAAAAAATTGTATCCGCCTACAAAATTCCCCTTATTTACTCTCATCAGAATCGGTCACTTCACCATAGATATCCATTTTCTTGGAGTATAGCTATGTTTTTTTCCCATTCTTCGTCATTATAAATACATGTATATGATCGAGGCTCACCATCATC